GAAGTTCAGGCTGGCCTTGAACTTGTGGTCTTCCCCCAGCCTCAGCTTCCCAAGTGCTGGAATTACAGCCGTGGGCCATCATACTCACCTCAAATCAATTTAAAAAAATGAATTGAGTCTTGACTTGAGGACTAGCACATGGTCTATGTTGGAGAATGTCCTCTGGGCACTGGCTGAGAAAGTGTGTTCTCTTGTTGGATAGAGTGTTCTATGCATGTCTGTTATACCTAGTTGGCTTGTAGTGCTGCTAGAGTCCTCTGATGCCTTATGTACTATTTGTTCCATCCATTGTTGAGGGTGAAACAGTGATGCCCCTGACTATTCTTGTACAACTGTCTACCTTCTCCCTTTAAGTCTGCCATTTTTGGCCTTATACACTTCATGCATAAATATTTATAATTGTTTTAGCTTTTGTATTTAAACTTTTAATAATATATAATCTCATTGCCTGTTGTAAAATAAGTTTTTCTAACTAATCACATGCATTTCTTAAGTCAGGTGGAAAATAAAAAGTGGAGTTTGAAATCAAAGTTTCAATAATGTTAGCTCTCTCTCTCTCTGTGTCTTTCTGTTGCTGGGGATTAAACAAAGAGCCTCTGCACTGAGCTACAACTCCAGCTCTGTTTTATTTTTTCATTCTGATACAGAGTGTTGCTAAGTTGCTGAGTTTCCCAGGCTAGTCTCAACCTTGGATCTTCTGCCTCAGCTTCCCAGATGCTGGAATTAACAGGCCAGCACCACTTTACTCTCTATTGAAAGCTCCATTTTGTTCATAAATTATTTTCTTGAGTTTTTTTCATGCTTTCCTTTACCTATTTGAATATCTTTAAAATGTTTAAAATTCTTCCTAGAGTAAATCTGCATCAGCTACTTCTCAAGAATCTCTTCTTTTCCTTTCTTTGTTTTTTATTCTTTTCTTTCTCTTTCTTCTAGGGATCAAATTCTACCACTCTACATAGTGCTACATGCCTAGCCTTAGGATGTTTTCTGTGGAAATTTCTTTCTTTTACATAGGTCATGCTTTACTGTCTCTTTGAATATTTTGTGATGTTTTTGTTGTTGAAAACTGCACTTTGAATTTTTTTTTCCTCATTGAGTTTATTGGTACGTTTTAGGTACACAGTACAGTTACATTCATCGTTCGGATCTTGTACCTTACATGACAGGTCTTGGTTCACATTTTTTCCCCTTGGACTTTGAATCTTTTAATGTGATAACTCTGGGAATCAGATGCTCCATTTTGCCAGGGTTTATTTTATTTCCTTTCAGTTGTGTGGCATCTCTGTGCCAGAGATTACTCTGAGATGTACAATTCAGGTCTTCTGGGAGCCTGTGCCTTTTGCAGGGACACTCAGTTACTGTCTCAATGTCCTGATATATGTGCTTGCTTTTGGATGTTCTTGTCTTTAGGTGTCTGATTCCTAAAGGAGGAAAAATGGAGGGAACAGACACTGGCCACTGGCTCTTTACATTGCATGGAAGCCTTGTGTATGTGAGAAATTGTAAGAGCTTAATGGAGATGGTACTGATGGCTCCTTCTGCACCCTTCTGCACAATCAGAAGCAGAGCTCTGGTCAGCACATAGATCCCATGGTCCTTCTTGTCCCTCCTGTCTCCTGCAAAGCCACTCCTCCTTCATCTCTTGATACTAGGGTTTGAATCCATGGCTTTCACACTGGGCTAATTCCCCTGCCCAGCTTTTAAATCTTTATTTTTGAGACAGAGTCTCACTGAGTGGTCAACAGTGAATTTAAACATTTTATGATCTTGTCTCAGCCTTACAGAGAGCTGGGATTACAGACATGTGCCACCACACGGGGCCAGTTTAAAATCTGTTCTCTCTCTCTCTCTCTCTCTCTCTCTCTCTCTCTTTCTCTCTCTTTCTGCATTGGAGATCAAACCCAGGGCTTTGCACATGCTAAGTAGGTGTCTGGCACTGAAATATATTCCCTGATATTCTTTTGTGAACTTTCTATTTTTACTGTACTCTGTTGTCTGTTTTCTTTTTTTGGCACTGGGGATCAAACTCAGTTCCTCAAGCTTGCAAGACAGGCTGTGGAACCTCTAAGCTAAATTCTTTGGCCCTCTTTTGTCTATTTTCTATGCTCATATTCATTTGCTTTATTTTTCTTTTTTTTTAATCAGAAGAGTAGAACTGAGGATAGTACAAATACCAAGTGCATTATGGTAGCAGACATAATGTCACATTAGGATTTCATAAATTATCCTTTTTAAGACTGTCATCCCTGTGTGTGATGGTGGCCAGAAGTCAGCAGGACATCAGTAAGGAAGGAAAGACCAACAGAAAGTGAGGAAACCAGAGAAGAACACACAGGGACTTTTGACGGCTAACTAGAATAGCATCTGAATCTCACTGCCTGGAATCTCAAAGATGCAGGTGACCTACAGGAAGATGAACTGTCATCTTCTCTTCTTCCCCTCCATTATAGCTTCTTTTTTGTCCTGTCTTTCATGACCTGGACATTTTGTTGTTGTTGTTGTTTGTGTTTGTTTGTTTGTTTGTACTGGGGATCAAACTCTGGTCCTTGCACTTGTGAAGTAGGCAGCAGAACCACTGAGATAAATCCCTGGTGATGATCTGGATGTGTTTGAAGAGCCCAGGTCATGTGTGTTTTGATAATATCCTTCAACTAACCTGTGTCATGATTACATCCTGGGTGAGACCCTAAAGTTTGGATCTGCAGGTGGAACACCAAAGAGCTGACCTGTGCCTCAGGGTGCATGCTATGAACATGATTTGTTATAACTCCAATAGTTTTCTCTCTGTATATTGACAGTTTTCTGCACATTATTGGAACAATAATGAGGCCATTCTTGTCCTTCTTTGAGGGTACATTGCATTGCCTTAGAACACCCAAGCAAAAAAGAGGAATTAGAATTTGTTTTCCTTCCTTCCTTCCTTGCTTCCTTTCTTCCTTCCTAGTTTTTGTCATCCCTCCCTCCCACCCTTCTTATTTTTCTTCCTCCCTGTCTTCCTTCCTTTCTCTCTTTCCTTATTCTTCCTTTTTTTCTTTTCCAGTACTGGGGATTGAAACCAGGGACTGAACTCTGATGTACCCAGATTTTATGTTTTTATTTTGAAATGGGGTATTGCTAAGTTAATAAGTTTCCCATACTGAATTCAAATTTGGGATCCTCCTGTCTCATCCTTCCAGAGTGCTGGGACTTGTGCAAAGTTTTTTTTTTTGTTATTGTTCTTTGCCAAGGAGACAAGGTCTCATTATTTTGCCCCAGCTAGTCCTGGTGACCTGAGCTCAAGCAATCCTCCTGTCTCAGTTACCTGAGTTGCTGGGATTACCACTATGCAAGGAAGAAAACTTGATAATTTAAGTGGACATCTTGGTACAGACACAGGCAAAAGGAGGGTTCAAGGGGGACCAGGATCATAGAGAAAGTCAGTATCAGGAAAAGTTGGCAGGAGAAAACCTGGTCAGTTCAGAAAGATCAAAGATACCTGAGAATAAGAAATGGATGCAAAAATCCTCAATAAGATATGGGCAAACAGAATTCAGAGGGTCATCAAGAAGATCATACACCTTAACCAAGTTGGCTCTCTACCAGTGATGAAAGGATGGTTCAACATACATAAATCAATAAATGTAATACACTATATTAATAGAGCCAAGGACAAAAACCATATGATCATCTCAATAGATACAGAAAAAGCATTTGACAAGATTGAACACCCATTCATCATAAAAACTCTGCAGAAAATTGGAATAGATGGTCTTTATCTCAACCTGATTATGGCTATCTATGAAAAAGTAACAGTCAACATTATACTAAATGGTTAAAAACTGAAAACCTTAGGGCCAGGGATTTAGCTCAGTGGTTCTAGTGCCTGCCTGGCAAGCAGAAGGATCTGAGCTCGATCCCTGATACCAAAAAAACAAAAAAACAAAAAAACAAAAAACCCAAAAAACAACAACAACAGAAAAATTGAAAACCTTCATGCTAAAATCAGGAACAAGACAAGGATGTCCCCACTATCACCACTCCTCTTCAATATAGTTCTGGAAACATAGAGAAAGAAATTAAAGCAATAAAGATAGGAAAGGAAGAAGTTAAGCTGTCATTATTTGCTGATGATATGATACTCTACATAGAAGACCCCAAAAAATATCTCCAAAAGACTTCTAGACTTAATTGACAGATCCAGGAGAGTAGCTGGATACAAGGTCTACACTCAGAAATGAATAGCCTTCTTGTACACAAATAACAGACTCACTGACAGAGAAATTAGGGAAACAATCCCTTTCACAATAGCATCCAAAAAAAAAAATCTAGTAATCAAGCTAACAAAGTAAGCAAAAGTCCTTTACATTGATAACTACAACACTCTGAAAAAAAGAGATTGAAAAGGATAAAGAAAATGCAAAGACATCCCCTGTTCCTGGGTAGGAAGAACCAATATAGTGAAAATGGCCATACTACCAAAACTGCTATACAGATTCAGTGCAACCCTGATTGAAATCCCAACAGTATATTTCACAGAATAGAGAAAACAATCCAAAAATTCTTTTGGAACCAGAAGAGACCTAGAATAGAAAAAACAATTTTAGGCAACAGAGACATGGCAGGGGATATCACAATTCCCAACTTGAAACTATACTACAAAGCCACTGTGATAAAAAACAGCAAACAGACCTGAGGATCAGTGGAATAGATCACAAGATGCAAAACAAAAACAAAAACAAAAACAAACACAAAAACCAAACCAAAACAAAAAAATCCCAAAAAAGCCAAAAAACCCAAACCCAAACAAAACAAAAAACCCCAGATGTACTCAGCCATCTCATCACTGACAAAGGAGTCAACCATCCTCAGTGGAGGAAAGATAGCCTCTTTAATAAATGGTGTTGGATTAAAACTAGACCCCTGTCTTTCACCATGCACTCAACTAAAATTGAAGTGAATTAAAGATGTAAATATTAAAGCAGAAACGTTAGATTCTGCTGTCAGAGCTGTGGGTCAGAGCCATGGAGGCCTATGAGCAGGTCCAGAAGGGGCCCCTGAAGCTGAAAAGCATTGCAGACTTTGGCGTGACCAAGTGGAAGAAGAAGAATAAGGACAAGGACAAGGTGAAGCTCCTGAAGGTGATGGGGATGAGCAAGAAGAAGGAGGAGGAAAAGTCTCACTGCCTGGACAAGTGGACGCCGGTGCAGGCGGCCTTCGAGAAGCAGAAGAGGTGGCAAATGGAGCGGATCCTGAAGAAAGCATCCAAAACCCACAAGGACTTCAACAGGCACCTGGATGCCCTCACCGAGCACTATGACATCCCCAAGGTCAGCTGGACCAAGGAGGCCTGGCAGGTTCTTCTGGAGACTCTGCCCACACTGCCCTGTGTCTGCTGCCACTGGGCCAGTACTTCCAGAAGCTGTCCCGTCGTCCTGGAGCCTGATTAAAATCACACTGGGCCGGGAATTTAGTTCAGTGTTTCCACCATTTGCCACACCAGCAAGAGAACCCGAGTTCAATCTCCAGTACAAAAAAAAAAAAAAAATCACATTCAGGGTGATTGCCATGGAAAAAGCGCCATCGCTGATCACATCTCACATTGAGGCCCCCAGCTGCTGTTACCTGGGTGATGGACTCCTGGGGCAAGGATCCGGTGCCACCAGCACCAGGGCACCCATGCTGTCTTCAGGCTGTGGCTTCTGCCAGCTGGACAGTGTGACCACAAGACCAAGGCAGATGTTGGTCTCATCTCTTGCACTTGGGCCAGCATGAAGTCCCCAGCACCTCTGTCCGCTATGCAACGCTGCCCACCTGGCAGGGCTCTTGGTGATGGGAGCAGACACAGTGCAAGGCCTTGGGCTTCAGGGGATGTGTCCGGAGTCGGCACCTCTGTGGGCCGTGCCACCTGTGCTGTGCTTGGCACAGACAGCGAGTGGACAAAGGAAGTGAGCGCCGGGGCTAGGCAGCTGCATGTAAAGTACAGAATAAAGCAGAGCCTGGTTAGGACGCAAGTCTGCGTGTGGATGTGGTGCTTGCAGCTCCTAGACCATCCCAGAAGCGCTGCCTTTCAGACTCACACATGGGCAGCGTGTGTGGAACAAAATCGTTACTTGTTTGGGAAAAATTAGAGGGCACACTGGTTATGCCACAGTCTGCACCAAAGAGCAGCCAAGTCCAAGTTGAACAGCTATTGCTGGAATCCACGGGACTGGGAGTGGCCAGGATTTCAGATCTTTGGGGTTGGGGATATTTGTACATGCACAATGAGGCATCTGGAAGAGGGAACACAGGTTTAGACAGGTCCTCTCAATTCACAGCCCAGGGTCGTTTCATGGGACATTCTTGTTAATGTATTCTGCCATGCATAATAAATGCACTTAGGGTGATAAATTGGAACATACACAACGCACAATGAGGCATCTGGAAGAGGGAACACAGGTTTACACAGTCCTCTCAATTCACAGCCCAGGGTCGTTTCATGGGACACTCTTGTTAATGTATTCTGCCATGCATAATAAATGCACTTAGGGTGATAAATTGGAACATACACATGGTGTAGTTTTATGTGACATTTTAATAATTTTGTGTGTGAAACAGTTCCACAGAGTGGGATTCTCTGCTTATATCATGTCAGAGCTCAGAAAGGTATGGGTTTTTGGAGTGCCTCAGATTTTTCTTTGGGATGCTCCGCCTGCACTCCTGTGTACATCGGCTTACTATCAGGGATTCTTCCAGAACCTTCTAGAAAGGTGGTTTAGCAAGGTTTGTTTACTGGGGATGGGACCCAGGGCTCTGCACTGAGCTATGTCCCCAGCCTTTTGTATTTTGAGACAGGGCCTAGCTAAACTGCCAAGATACGCAGGGTGGACTTGAACTGATAGAGAGAACTTCTATAAATAGAAATCTGAAACCTGCAAAATGTTAAAGAAAATATGGAATAACCACTGTCTTTTGCTATGTAATTTGCTTTTCTTTGTTTGTTTAACAAAAATACCTGAGGTTTTACCATTGAAGCTTAACAGCACGTAGCCCCAGTTGAAAATTAACAGATGCCTGAGGTGCTAAACCACATCCCAGGATGAGACCTAATGTTCAAGCTAAGATAACAGTCCCTGAGCTATAAAACTTTCTGTAAACTACATGGCTATAGAGGTGATAAGCTGAAAGGAATGTCACCAGTCCTGCTTTCCTAACTCTGACCCTCACCCTTATGGGCTGAAATAGCTAAAGATAAGCATCCTGGAAGAAAATGCTACATTTGGGTTAACATTGCACTGTCTTGTGACCATGATTTGTGATGGGAACTAGAATGTCTTACCACCTAAAATGAGGTCATGATTATAGAACTCTTATAAAAGGCAGATTGTCACCCACTCCAGGGTAGGTCATTTGGCACAGCCTTTGATGTAGGCCAACCCTTTGCTAGCAAAGGAAACTTTTTTATTTTACCCCCCCCAAAAAAAACCCAAAGCAAAACAAAATAGAGACACTAAACTTGCTGGAAGATAAATTAGGTAGAACTCTTGAAGACATTAGCGTAGGAAAAGACTTTATGAACAAATCCTCAGTAGCATGGGAACTAGCACAAAGAATCAACAACTGGAATCTCATCTTATTAAAAAGCTTCTGCAGCTGGGCATGGTGGTGCACACCTGTAATCCTAGCACTTGGAGGCTGAGGTAGGAGGATCGCTGTGCATTCGAGACCAGCCTGGGCTACATAGTGAGTTCCAGGTCAGTCTCAACTACATAGTGAGAACCTGTCTCAAAAAACAAAAAAACCAACAAAATGAAGCAAAACAAAACAAGCTTCTGCAGTACAAGAGAAACCACCAACAGAGCTAAGAGACAACGTATAATGTGGAAAAAAAATTTTACCAGCTGTTCCTCAGACCTTTGTCTACTATATAGAATATACAAATAACTAAAAAAAAAGAAGACCCCCCCAGAGTTCCAGGTGTCTCAACTACATAGTGAGAACCTGTCTCAAAAAACAAAAAAACCAACAAAATGAAGCAAAACAAAACAAGCTTCTGCAGTACAAGAGAAACCACCAACAGAGCTAAGAGACAACGTATAATGTGGAAAAAAAATTTTACCAGCTGTTCCTCAGACCTTTGTCTACTCTATAGAATATACAAATAACTAAAAAAAAAGAAGACCCCCCC